GGAAGGAAGGAAGGAAGGAAGGAAGGAAGGAAGGAAGGAAGGAAGGAAGGAAATATTAGGGAAGTGAGCAGAACTTGATGATTGGGTGGGGTGTGGCTAAGACTAAGAAAAGGACTCAAGAGGGACTCCAGGTCCATCTTGGGGCTGTTAAGGGAAAGAAATATCTATATAAGGCAAAGGACACATAGAGGGAAAGGGCTTTCTGGCTGGGAAGAAGGTAAATTCCAGCAGGTTCCAAAGCTCAGGAGATAAACCTGATGAAGAGGCTAGTTAACTCAAGCTGGGGACGTGGCTCGGTGAAGTGTTTGCCAGTCAAGCATGAGGGCCTGGTTTAGAGTCCAAGTACCCATGTAAAAAAGTAGCTGTGCTTGACAGTATGTCTATAACCCCAGCACTGGGGTGGGGTATGTGTGTGTAGAGTGGAGACAGATGGATGGCTAGACTCACTGACTAGCCACTCTAGCCAAATTGTTGAGCTCCAGGTTCAGTGACAGACCCTGTCTCAGAAAATAAGGTGGAGAGTGATTGAGGAAGACACCTCACATTGACTTCTGGCCTCCACACAGATGTATACATGCATGCACACACGTACGTACACACACACACACACACACACACACACACACACAATTAGAACTCACAGTCAAGCATGGTGACATATGCCTATAATCACAGGACTTGGGAGATGGAGGTAAAAGGATCTAAAGTTCAAGGCCTGCCTCAACTACATATCTAGTTGGAGACCAGCCTGGGCTACACAAGACCCTGTCTCAAACAAATCAGAACTCAAAAGCCTGGTGTAGAAGGCACAGGCCTGTAATGACAGCATCTCAAAGGTGAAGACACAAGGATCATGAGTTCTAGGCTAACCTGACCAGCAAAGAAAGACCCTGACTGGAAAAAAATGGAAAGAAAGAAAGAGAGGGCAGAGAAGGGAAGGGAAGGGAAGGGAAGGGAGGGGAAGGGAGGGGAGGGGAAGGGAGGAGAGGGGAAGGGAGAGGAGGGGAGGGAAAAACTTTGAGCTTGGGAGAGGGGCATGCTCCAGCCCACCCCAGCCCAGGGTGGCAGGTTCCACCAGGAATGGTTCTGGCCAGCATCAGCATCCCTATCCTCAGGGTTTGCTCTCCCCTTCCCCAGGTGTCTGACTTGAAGCCAGGAAAGCGGTACCTGTTCAAGGTCCAGGCCATGAACTCAGCTGGGCTGGGTCAACCATCGATGCCCACTGACCCCATCCTCCTGGAGGACAGACCAGGTAGGATGGCAGACAGTGCTAGGCTGTACTGTGGGGCTGTGCCCTGGGTACAGGAGGAGCTCCAGGGAAGATGGAGAAGCATGAGGATGGCGGGTGGAAGGCAGGCCTTCTCCAGCACTGTTCTTCCTTCCTCCAGCTCACCTTCCCCTGCTGGCTGGTTCCTCTCTTCTTCCCCAACCCCTATCATGGCTATGGAGTCAGGAAAGGAAGTCACCACTTCCCTAGACTGCAATGACGTTCTCCACTTTTTCTGTGCTGTATGCATGAGCTCATGTGACCCCAAGTGATACCCAGCTCCATCTTGTTTACCACGTGTAGCTTTGCCTGTGTGTGGTCACAGCTCTTGAGGGCTCTCCTGCTATACATGTCAGAGTTTGTCCTAGGTCCTCATACATTAGGACTGACTGTTCTAGTGCATAGGTTAAACCACCAAGGAATGCAGGTAGCAAGTGACAGGCTCACTCCACAATGTTAACAATAAAGCATGTTTGCTTCCTATTCTTTTAAGTATTCAACCAACAAATAAGTATTTGGTGAGGTCCACATTGCACTGGAAATGCAGCTGCCAAAGGAAGCGGGTGTGTGTCATGGTGGGGGAGATGGGTGCAGGGAGTGAGTGGACAGTAAAGATGGACTGCAAACTAGTCCATGAAGAAGGAGGTTTAAGATCACAGGAACAAGGCTAGGGATGTGGCTCAGTGGTGGAGGGCTGGCCCTAGCCCTGGGTTTGATCGCAGCACTGTAAAAAAAAAAAAAAAAAACAGAAAAGAAATAATTTTAAAAGACAGAAGCCAGCTGTAGTGGTGCACACCTGTAATCCCAGCACTCCAAATGCTGAGGCAGCAGGAACATCACCTACCTAGACTACATAGTGAATTCAAGGCCAGCTTGGGCTAATGTCTTAAAAATCCTGCCTCAGAAAGGAGGAGAAGGAGAAGGAAGAGGAGGAAGAGGAGGAGGAGGAGGAGGAGGAAGAGAAGAAGGAGAAGCAGGAGGAGCAGGAAGAGGAGGAGAAGGAGGAGGAAGAGGAGGAAGAGGAGGAGGAGGAGGAAGAGAAGGAGGAGAAGCAGGAGGAGCAGGAAGAGGAGGAGAAGGAGGAGGAAGAGGAGGAGGAGGAGCAGGAGGAGGAGGAGGAGCAGGAGAAGGAGGAAGAAGAGGAGGAGGAGCAGGAGCAAGAGGAGGAGGAAGAGCAGGAGGAGGAGGAGCAGGAGAAGGAGGAGCAGAAGGAGGAGGAGGAGCAGGAGAAGGAGGAGCAGGAGGAGGAGGAGGAAGAGGAGGAGGAGGAGGAGGAGGAGGAGGAGGAAGAGGAGGAGGAGGAGGAAGAAGAGAAGGAGGAGAAGCAGGAGGAGGAGGAGAAGGAGGAGGAAGAGGAGGAGGAGCAGGAGCAAGAGGAGGAGGAAGAGCAGGAGAAGGAGGAGCAGGAGGAGGAGGAGGAGCAGGAGCAGGAGGAGGAGGAGCAGGAGGAGGAGGAGGAGGAGGAGAAGGAGGAGGAAGAGGAGGAGGAGCAGGAGCAAGAGGAGGAGGAAGAGGAGGAGGAGGAGGAGGAGGAGGAGGAGGAGAAGGAGGAGGAGGAGGAGGAAGTAGAGGAGGGGGAGGAGGAGAAAGAGGAAGAAGAAGAGGAAGGAGGAGGAGGAAGGGGAGGAAGTAGAGGAGGGAAAAAGGAAGAAGAAGAAAAGGAGGCAAAGGAAGAGGAGAGGAAAAGAAGGAAGAAGAGTCAGTTGTGGAGGGCTTCTCAGAGGAGGTGAGAATTGAGCTGAGGACCCAGATCACGCACAATCTTGGAGTTCACAAGGAGTCGAGGCTGTACGCAGGGAAGGGACATGACCTGAATTATAATTTATAAACACCTGCTGCCCGCTGCTAAATCTTGTCCTCAGATGCCCCGGAGATCAAGGTTGGTGTGGACGAAGAAGGCCGTATCTACTTGGCTTTCGAAGCCCCCGAAGCCCCCGACTCCTCGGAATTTCAGTGGTCCAAGGATTACAAGGGTCCCCTAGATCCCCATAGGGTCGAGGTGGAGGATGAAATTAACAAGTAAGTGGAGAGTTGGGACACCCACTCAGCAGCACCCAAGGGCTGGCAGGACTGGAGGGCGGCACACAGACAGCGGGCTGGCAGGAGCTTCCCAGTCTGCCCTGAAGACGTGGGCTGCCACCACTGCATGAAACAAGGGAGGGTGTACTCAGGGACAGAAATGAACCCATTCTTTGGGAGGATTCTTTTTCGGTAAGGACCTGTGAGCATCTCTGCCCAATAACATGAGGGACTGGAATAGATGATCAGAGCGCCGTTGTCAAATGTCCCCTCCCAGCAGCCGGCCATGGCCTTAGCTATGTTAGGCAGGAGATAAAGCTGCCGTCTCCAGCCCTGAAAGAAAGTAGATCAGTGCAGTCATAAGCAGACCCCGTGCCTGACAGCCCAATTCTAAGAGCTTTTGCGGATGCTAGGCCACAAGAGTCCCGGGAGGTCCAAGGAGACAACTGCCCCTGCTGTCCAGCTCAGGATAGGGCACAGACCACCAGAGCTAAGATCCTCCAGCTCCCAGGCTCAAAATGTACAAGGCCAAAGTCCCCACTCAGAATGACTTTCTTCTCTCTACCAGGTCCAAGGTCATCCTGAAAGAACCTGACCTTCAGGATTTGGGCATCTACTCAGTGGTAGTCACCGATGCTGATGAAGACACCTCTGCAAGCCACACACTGACTGAGGAAGGTAAAGCACCTGCTCTGCCACCTCCCCAAAGAGACAGACACTCCCCCCCAATCCAGAGTCCAAGCATGAGTGCCCACAGAAACCAGCAAAGAGCAGCAAAAATGAGTGAAGCCGTCCTCACCTCATCCACTCAGCCTGTCAATCACTAAACACCTACTGAGCACCTCCCACAGGCACAAAGCTTCTGCCTGGTAGAATTCTCATTCTTGTCTGTCTTCTGTTTTCCCACTTTACACAAAGGCAAAGCTCTCAGAATTCTTTGGCTTCCTGCTATAACCTAAGAAAAACAGGAGTGTAAGGGTGGTCACAAATTGACAACGTCAGATGATTTGCGGCACGAGGCTGGCAATAGCAATAAGGAGCAGTGAGGACCGTGGTTAACCAGAGAGTGGCTGCCTTAATAGACCAGCCAGCTTTGATGGATTAGCCAGTAAAGCACATGCTCCTGGTTGATGAGACAGTCTCTGATGTCTCCATAGCAACTGGTCCCCTGCCCATTGTCTTTCCTGCTCATGGCCTGTCAGTCCCTTTTATTTTGCTAAACAGCCAAAGCCCAGTCTAATTCTAATTCCTTAATATGCTGGCTATTTGACCTTGAGCAAGTTGTATCACTTCCCAGACCTCAATCACCTCATCTGCACAGGGGGGTTAGAATCTCTGCTGCCCCTTTGAAACAGTGCCGTTATACAGCTACAATTAGATACTTGCCTAAGTGCAGTTCAGCATGCTAAGGACTTGGGTTTACAAGGCAAAATGAGGATGGACTAGAGCCTGCAATGTGCATTTATTGAGCACCTACTGTGTACGAGACACTCATGTATGTCCAGAGTGCAGGTCAGCAAGAGAGACAAACCTGACAGGAAGAAGCAGTTGGGCAATGCGGCAGCACTCTCTGAAGCAGCCCTGGAGACTTCTGGGCTGTTGCAGTCAGCATGTGGTCCAGACACTAGGCTGTAGGACAGCATGTAACAGTAGGTTAATGATAGGACCAAGGATACATGGCCTGGAAGGCCTGCAAGTGAACAGTGAGGCTCAGCCTCCTCAGTGCTGGGGACTAATGAGGTCACACGGAGCCTGGTACATTGTAGATGCTCTTTTGGGCAGGGTGTTCTCAGGGTGGCCAAGCATAGCCGGAGCATCTCCCATAGTGCCCCAAGACCAAAGCCCACAGTGCTCATCACCGGCCTCTGTGGAGCACATGACCCCAAGTTGGTGGCAATGTGGCGCTCTCTCAGAGCTTCTCAGCATAGGAGGGTTCCTCGGATGGTTCTCGTGGATTCCGTGGCCTGTTTCAGCTTCCGTTTTCTTTCTTGTCCCTCGCTGCTCCAGAGCTGAACAAGCTAAAGAAGTTAAGCCATGAGATCAGAAACCCAGGTAAGCACAGATGTGCAACTTCCCACAGTTCCTAAGGGCCCAAGGATGTGTCCTGAGCAGAGCCGAGTCAGGCAGAGAGCAAGGATACAACCTGGGGGAAAGGGAAAAGAACCACAGGCTGGAAAGCCAGAGACCAGAGGAGCACTGGGAAAGGACAGCCAGCAGGGAGCCAGCGGGGTGCAAGGAAGGGACCAGGGCAGTCTTTAATCATTACTATCACCGTCGCCTCCATCAATACCATCATCATCACCGTCACCACCATCATCACCATCACTATCCTCACCACCATCAACCACCATCACTATCATCACCACCACCGTCATCATCATCACCATCATTACCATCACCACCACATCACAATCACCGTTATCATCACTACCTTCACCACCATCACCATCACACCACCATCATCATCATCGCCTCATCATCAGCACCATCAATACCATCACCACCATAATCACTACCATCATCACCATCAACATCATCACTATCCCCAACACCATTGCCTCTACCACCATCATCCTCATCAGCCCTTGAGTCATCTGAGCTTTGGATCATCTAAACTTCCATTTCCCTCCTTTGGCCCTGGGTGGTGGAATCCTTAAGCCCAGTCACAGACTTGGTCACACACTGAAATAACCCTGGGAACTTTTCAAAATTCATCCCAGGCAATCACATAACCAAATCAGCATGGCAGGGAGCAGGGAGCCCAGACTTCTAGTGTTTAGGGCCCAGAGCCCTTGAAGGGGAAATGCTTTTCTGAGCTGAATTCTGTCTACAGCAAGCATGCACACAGACCCCCAGGCAGGCCCAGTCCCTTCAGGCTTTGTAAACATTTCCTATGTCCACTGCCAAGGGTGAATCTAGGTGGGGCTGAGAGAGAAGGAGAGGGCACCCCACCCACACCCTTCTTGTGTTTCCCAGTGATCAAGCTGATCTCCGGCTGGCACGTTGATATCCTCGAGCAAGGCGAGGTTCGGCTCTGGTTGGAGGTAGAGAAGCTGTCGCCAGCCGCTGAACTGCACCTCATCTTCAACCAGAAGGAGATCTTCAGCTCCCCGGTAACCGGTGCTCACAGTCCCTGGGTAGCCCCCCGCCTGCCCCAAGTCCTCACCTGTGGACTGGTGCCTTGTACTGCAGTCACTTTAGAAATGGCTGCCTGCTTTGGCTCTCCCAACACTGGGGTGCAGACGAAGACACCTGGGGGAGCAGGAAGGGGCGACTGAGAGGGAGGATGGGGGTGGAGCAACTGCATATTAAAATACACAGGATTTTATTTTAAATGATTATTTGTTCTTCGTAGAAGAGTGCTTCATAGAAGAGTATGACCTGTGAATCTTAGTTGATTCATAGGTAGACAGGTTAGGATGGGCTACTGATTCGCAGTTGTTTTTAATCTGCCAAAATGTCAATCTCAGTCTCCTGACAGCATCACATTGTTTGTGAATTTCATCTCCAGATGGCAGTGCAACTATCAGAAAACATGTATTAGGGCTAAAGTGTAGCTCGGTGGTAGAGCACATGCCTAGCATGGCCAAGATCCTGGGTTAGATCCAAGGGAGGAGGGAAAGAAAGGAGGGAGGGAAGGAGGGAGGGAGGGAAGAAGGGGGGAGGAAGAGAGGGAGGGAGGGGAGAGGAAGAGAGGGAGGGAGGGGAGAGGGAAGGAGGGGGAGGGGGAAAGAAGGAGGGGAGGGAAGAAGGGGATGGAGGGGAAGAGAGGGGGAAGGGAGGGAAGGTGGAGGAAGGCGGGAAGGGAGGAAGAATACATCCTATGGAGAAGGGCTTGCTGGTTCTGACTCAGGGAAATAGCGTGGAGCCAGATGTCAGCAAGTCCACTCCCAGCCCTTGAGTGCCTGTGGGCCAGTCTCACACCTCTGAGCCTCCATCACTGTAATTATACAGCAGGGCAGGTTTTCCCAAGACCAAAAGCAGCACAAGAGAAACAGATTTGAAAGCTCTGCGTACAGAACACACGTTGAGCTTGCCACATGTTATCCAAGGTATCACAGGGTCTAGAGGCTTTACTGTAAAACCAGCCCAAAAATAAAATAAAATAAAATTTTATCACTTCCTTCAATTGTGTATGCAAATAAAGTCACAGGTAGCAGGGACCGAAATGGGGAAAATAAAACTTAGTTTGTTGCAAAATGCAAATGAACAATTTGGAAGAGTGTTAAAATGTAAAAGGAAAACTGGGCGTGGCAGTACATGCCCATAATCTCAACACTGGAAAGGCAGAGCAGGAGGATCAGGAGTTCAAGGTCATACTCGGCCAGTTTGAGGCCAGCCTGGACTACATGAGACCCTGCCTCTAAAGAAAAACTTGGGGCTAGTGAGATGGCTCAGCTGGTAAGGGCACTTACCACCAAGCCTGAAACCTGAGTTCAATCTCTGGGACCTACTCCCACAAGATCCGATTCCCACAAATTGTACACACACACACACACACACACACACACACACACACACACACACGCGTGCACATATGTGTGCGCACATCACACACACACACACACACACACACACACACACACACACACGTGTGCACAGACGTGTGTGCACAAATAAATTGAAATGTAATTAAATTAATTTTTTTACTTAAATTGCAAAAGAAACTTAAAAGAACCACTAATGTGAGACATGGTGGGGCACAGAGATTGGTTTTGTTTTGTTGTTGTTGTTTGAGACAGGGTCTCACTATGTAGTCCCGGCTGGCCTGGAACTCACTATGTAAACCAGGCTTGCCTAGAACTCACAGAGATCTGCGTACCTCTGCCTCCCCATGCACCACCACATCCAGCCCAGAGATTATTATTAAATTATAATTCATTCAATCATGGGATCCCCAATCTATATAAACAAGGAAGGATTATCTAGAACCCTTTCTCAGTCCCTGCGGGTTGACAGTTTGTACATAACACCCCAAGTCTGACCACACCCTGAGGTGTGCCCCTCAGCAGATCTCTCAGAATAGCAAAGACTCCAGGGTTTGTTTCCCCTCAGAACCGCAAGATCAATTTTGACCGTGAGAAGGGCCTGGTGGAAGTTATCATTCAGCAACTATCTGAGGACGACAAGGGGTCATACACTGCCCAGCTCCAAGATGGAAAAGCCAAAAACCAGATCACCCTCACCCTAGTGGACGACGGTCAGCACAGCCCCACTCTGCCCTGGGCCACCTGCCTCACTGTCCTTGAACCCAGCTTTCTCTGTGTATTCCTGCCCTCCTCACACTCTCAGCAGCCCCCCCAGCTTGGGGTCTGCTGACTGCATCCCTGGTCTTCTGTTCACCTTGATGCCCCCTCTGGGAGCCTCTGTCACTCATGCCAGGTCTTCTCCATGTGTTCACAGATTTTGACAAGCTTCTAAGAAAGGCAGAAGCTAAGAGAAGAGATTGGAAGAGAAAGCAGGGTAAGAGCCACTGGCCAGTGCTGGAAGATACCGACCCACCCCACCGTGGTCTGGTTCAATCCTACTCCAGTGTTGGAACAAAACCTCATTTGAAAGTCGTGTACCCCAGGCCCCTTGCTTCACCACAGTCCCTCCCCTGATCTTAGAGACTAGGATCTTTAGCAATCTCCTCCCCAGCTGGCTTCCCTTATCAGGCCACCAGGTGGCGCCCTGGCCCAGCCTGGAGTCCAGGCTCATGATTCCCAACCCCTACCTCCAGGTCCCTATTTCCAGGAGCCTTTGCAGTGGAAGATCACAGAGGATTGCCAAGTGTTGCTGACATGCAAGGCAAGTCCCAACCCACCCAGGTCTGCCTCCAGCCCAGTGAAGCAAGACCTCTGGCTTATTCCCAAGCCCAGAGGCTGTCCCTGCCCACTCCACCCCTGAATTCCATCCTATGCCCTTGTGCTGGGCTGATCTCATGCCTGGGTCAGGGCCCTAGGAGAGCACAGTCACACACACACACACACACACACACACACACACACAACAACACAAAACCACCTTCCCAGGCCCAGGCAGTAGGATTATTGTGAGGTGGATCAACCTTAAGCTAGATCTCCCAGCAGCTCTGCAGGGAGTCCCCAGGGCCCAGGGGATCTGGGAGCTATGAAGGAATCTATATGTCAAGGAGCTTCGCTGGACAGCACTCAGTGCATCGGGTATTATTTTATTTTATTTCATCTGTCTCACAGTCATCTGTGGTATGGATGTTATTACCTCCACCTCAGGGACAAGAATACAAATAACTCAAGACCACACAAGGGTACAGGGAGCCAGGTCCTAACCAAGTCACCCTGACTCCAAAGCCCAGGTCCCCTTGATAATGGGGAAGTGCATCATAGATGGGTGCCACCCCCCCCCAGCATATTCATTCAGAAAATAAAATCATGCACTGCACACCCAATACTCTGCAAACCCCTAGGCATATGTAATGCAGATTTGGTTTCCTTAGTCCCCTGGGAACCCATAGTACATGACAGAATTATTGGAAAATGGCATTCTTTATGCTTGATCAGACATGGTCAGGAAATTCATTGTGAGGCAGGAGGGGTACTCTGGGGTGCTCCCAGAAGGAGGTGACAGCTGGGACTTTAAGAAGCCTGAGCTTTACAGGGAAAGCAGAGCAGAGAGGTTTCCAGAAGAAGCAGAAGTTGGAATCCAGAGGCCAGCAGAGGAGTCTCGGTGTGAGGAAGGGGTCAACTGACTTCAGCAAGCGTGTCTCTGTGGCTCATGGGGGAGGAAGTCATGTTTGCAAAGAAGTTATTTGAGCTGGGTGTTTATGAGAAAGCTTGATGGAGTCCCCTCACATCCTGCCTTCCTCAGGTCACCAATACCAAGAAGGAGACCCGCTTCCAGTGGTTCTTCCAGAAGAAAGAGGCACCCAGTGGGCAGTACGACCCACAGACTGGAGATGGGCTTCTGCATATCGAGGAGGTGAGTGCCACTGGGGCTGGGGGCGCACACCCTGCTCAGCTGCCAACTGAATGGATCGGAAAGCACTGGGCTGAGCAGAGCAGGGCTGGGACTAGTGAGAGACAAGCGAGGCACCCACACACGGAGCATCCAAACCCCAATCCAGAAAAATACTAGGGACTGGGGGGTGTAGTTCAGCTGGTAGAGCTGGCCGGACACACAGGAAGTCCTGGGTTCAAGTCCCAGAACTACATAAACTGGGTGAGAAAGTGCACACTTGTAATCCCAGCACTCAGGAGATGGAGTCGGGGGATCAAGTTCAGGGTCATCCTTGGCTGCAGCAGGTTTGAAGCCAACCTAAACCATATCAGACCTTCAAACAAACAAAAAGATAAATACTGGTTTATGCAATGTTTAAAAAGTCAAATTTAATGTTTAAAAATTGGAGGTGCAGAGTCAGGGGAACTCAACGAACAAAGATGCTTGTCACTGAGTTCAACAACCTGAGTTTGATCCCCAGGACCCACATAGCGGAAGAAGAGCACAGACTCCCAAAAGTTGTTCTCTGACCTACTACACACACACACACACACACACACACACACACACACACACGTGCATGGGCACACAATAAAATAAATTAAATAAATGAATAAATAAGCAAATAAGTAAATAAGTAAATAAATAAATAAAATGTAATCAAGCTTTAAAACATTTTTGAAAATTTTCTGTGTATGAGTGTTTTATCTGCATGTATATAAGTGTACATGTGCATGCAATGCCCATGGAAGCCAGAAGAGAGTGTCAGATCCCTGAAACTAGACAGTTGTTAGCTGCTATGTGGGTGCTGGAAACCTAACCCAGGTCTTCTGGAAGAGCAGCCAGTGCTCTTAACTGCTGAGCCATCTCTCCAGCCCCCTCTTTAAACCATTTTAAATTAAGGAAAAGACCTACAGAATTTTGAAGAAGATAAGAGTAGTATTACTGATTTTTCCCTTTCTCGGGCTCCAGACCTGGCTCTGGTATTGACTGTGCAGCCTTTGGCTGGTTGTTGGTCCTTTCTGACCTCTGGTCCATCTGCTCTTGGACTAGGATTGAGGACAGGAACACTGTTCCCAAGTGAGGCAGGTCTGGAGCAAAGTAGGCCTAGAGCCCAATTCTCCCCACGCCCTCCCACAAGGCCCCCTAGAGGAGTGTGACCTGGCTAGAAAAGACATGTAAGGCTGGTTCCCCACCTGCCCAAATGTTCTCCTGCTGCTGGCTTCCCGGGCCTCATTGGGTGCTGGAGGAACTGGACAGTTGATCACAGGCTTCCTACTAGGAAGGAAATGACCAGGCCAGGGTCTTCCTCCATATCGTGATCAGAACAATGCCACAGCAGCCTCTGTCACTGTTAACCAAGCTCCTCACAGGATATGCCATTCAGTTGGTACTTAATAGTTGTGGGGTCTTGATATAATGACCCATCCCGTAGATTCAGAGCTTTCTGGCTCCCATAGTGTTAACCCTAGGTCCCCCACAGCACCAGAGGCACATAGACAGAACGAGGATACCAACATTATTTCACAGACGAATAAACTGAGGCTCTGCAGGGTGAAATGAAAGAGCACAAGGCTAGAGTGGGGTCAGAGGTCACTCTAGCACCACCCCCATATGATTGGGACTTTGAGGCCTTCCCTGAGTAAAGGGGGGGGGGGTGTGGAAGAAGATTCTTGAGGTTCAGTTGTCAGTCCCCAGAAAGACCTTCCTTTGCCTTGAATCCTGCCCCAAAGCTACTGTGTGGAGGTAGCCAGGGTGGGAGGGACCTTTGGGGGCCTGGAAGCAAACATTACTCCATGGGCCCTGAAAGAGGTAGATTCTGACCTCTGCACCTCGCCTTAAAAGCACATCCCCAGGCTGGAGCCTAGTGGTAGACTACTTGCCTAGCACTGGAGATGCCCTGCCCTGGTTCCGGACCCAGCAAACATTTTCAAAAGTGCAATCAAGTTCTCACTTCAATGATTATTGATTCAGATTTAATTTGAGATTGCCAAGGTGTGCCAGAAAGACCCCCTGTCCTGAGCCAAAGAAAAAAGTGTTTCCTTCTTGGGAACTGCAGGAGTCATTGTGTCTGGCCTGAGGGAGAGAACAGGTTGGGGAGAGAGTGCCTTGCACTGACAAGCTCTGCCAGGAGGCTCGCCATGCTGAGCTAGGCTGGACTCAAAGCAGCGCCCTGGGATACAGATGGGGTGTTTGTTTCTGCCCTTGGTGCACACACACACACACACTCACACACACACGTGTGTGTGTGCATGCACTTGCCTTCTCCAGGCCCAGATGAGCCTTGAGCTAGGAATCAATCAACATTGGAGCTGACAGAAGCCTTATAGGCCATCAGCCCAGAGGAGTAAACTGAGGCCCAGGGAGAGAAAGGTCTTGCCAGAAGCCACACAGTGTTGGACCCTGGAACCTCCTGACTTGCCATCAACTCTCCAAGCACATACCACCATCTCTCATCTTCTTTTGTAGTTGTCCAAAGAAGACCAAGGAATTTACAGAGCTATGGTTTCTGATGAGCGGGGGGAAGACAACACCATCCTGGACCTCACAGGCGAAGGTAGGTGCCAGTGATGTCAGAGATGGGCCGGGGGGGGGGCATGAGAGGTCACACTGGAGCAAGAGACTGCAGTAGGATATGTGGCTTATGATTTTTGGGATCTCCATTTCACTTGGGGAAACTGAGGCACTGAGCAGTTAAGGGACTTGCCCAAGGTTGCACAGCTAGTCAGGAACAGAGGTCTGGTATATGTGATACCATGGTATACCACAGTAAACCCAGGCTTGGAGACTCTCCATCCAGAAGGCCCTGGCTGCTGTTGAGGTCAATTGATATAGCCAGAAATAAATTGCCAGGTGGCAGCCCCTCTGCCCCACCCATCACTGACCACCTGAGTTCTCCTCCCACTCCCAAGTCATCCTTCAGAGCATTCTGCCCTCAGAGAAGCTCTGAGCTCTCTCACCCTTCTCCAAGGATATCCCCTCTTCTGGATATCCCAAAGGGAACCCACCCAGCTGATCATTCTCTGTCTCCCTCCAGCCCTTGATGCTGTCTTCACTGAGCTGGGCAGGATCAGTGGTAAGTATGCCTGCCTTGTTGTCCTGCTCTGCCCTAATGCCAAAGAGCCTCCAAGGGACCCCAAAATGGCCTTGGCTGTGGAAATGGGTCTAGGAGCCACCCTCAACAATGGGAAGAGAAGCCCGAGCCTCCACACAGCACTGTGTCCCCTCCACACTGCCTCTGGGGCAGCAGCAAGCAGACTGGCCTGCAAATATGCCACTCACAGGTCCTCAGGGGAGACTCACAGGTCTCCTCTGCATCCCCAGCTCTCTCTGCAACCCCACTGAAAATCCAGGGGACCGAGGAGGGGATCCGGCTCTTCAGCAAGGTCAAGTACTACAATGTGGAATACATGAAAACCTCCTGGTTCCACAAGTAGGTTAACGTAGCCCCCGTCAGTCCTTGGCAAGCTGGAAGGGCCCAGAGCCTGCTCCATGAGGGCTTCCCTCCCTCCCCCTGCCCAGTCCTCCCAGCAGGGACTGTTTCAAAGGGGTCAGCGGGGCAAGGGTTTAACATCAGCCCTGTCCACAGGCAGGGTTGGGGATAGGGTGAGCAAAGAGAGAAGGACAGCGCCCTCCTCCCAGATGGGAATGCTGGTGGTAGGGCCATTCTTCTGAGATCTCCGTGACCACAGAAGGATCACAGCCCCAGACCTGGAAACTGGAGAAGGGAAGGATACAGGAATGAGACAGAGCCTGTCCGCGGGGTGATAGTGCCCTGGTGGGCCTCCCCAGTCTCAGCAAACCCTGGCAGCAGGGTTCAAGGGGGAAGTACAGGCAGAGGAAGCTGAGGTGCTAACAACTGATCAAGGTCAGGGCTTGAAAGCAGGAGAGATGAGGTTTCCAGAGATTCAGTCAGGAGCTAAGTAACCTAGATAGTTTGAGGGTAGAATTTCTCCTGGGCTTCTTATTATGTGCACACCTCAGCCTTATGAAGCAGACATGGCTGCACACATTCTATGGGAAAGTCTGGATTGACTTGGGCAAGTCTGTGCAATGAGAGCTAGGGCCACAGAAAGACTCAAGAGGGGAAGGGACTTCTCTAGCCAGAGTTTTTGAGCCCTGTGGCAACAGGCTTAGGTAACACTGGGGACGTGGGATAAATGTCTTCAGGAATGAAATTTAGGTAGTGAAGAGAAAGGGCTTAATGTTAAGTTGGTTTCCAAGATTAGGAGAGAGTGACTGTGAGACGATACTGCAGGATTAGGATGGAAATGCAGAATCAAGGGAGTGACTCCCTAGGACAGGAAAGTGGCAGTCACAGGTCACCCAGCCTGGAAGGCCATTTGCATCAGAGTCCCACATACACACCTAGCATTTGCTGACAGTTCATCTGCCCCCAGATTGCTAAGGGAATGAAGGAATGGATGGGAGACTGAACGCTGAATGGATGGATGATTGGATGATGAACGGAGCACTGGCCAATAAATGGATCTGAATGGACTGTCTCACTGATGGTCACACCCCTCAGCCATGGATCTGAAAACAACACTCCAAGAGAGGGCCTGAGGACAGGGAGTCTAGCCTTACAGCCAGCCTCAGTGATTCTCTGACCTTGCATTCAGAGACAAGCACCTGGAGAGAGGTGACCGGGTTAGGGCAGGCACCACCCTGGATGAGATCTGGCTCCACATCCTGGACCCCAAGGACTCGGACAAGGGCAAGTACACCCTGGAAATAGCTGCTGGGAAGGAAGTCCGGCAGCTCTCAGCAGATCTCTCCGGGCAAGGTGAGCTGTCCTTCTGTCTGTCTTCGGAGAATCCCATCTAGAAAACCCCAGGGGGACCAGGTGCATATCTGTAATCCTAGCACTTGGGAAGCTAAGACCTGACGATCAGGAGTTCAAGGTTATCCTCTGCTACATAGTGAGTTTGAGACCACCCTGTCTCAAAAAAAGGGGTTGGGGGGCTTCAGGGGTTAGAAGTGCTTGCCGCCAGGCATCACGGCGCATGCCTTTAATCCCAGCACTTGGGAGGCAGAGGCAGAGGCAGGCAGATCTTTGTGAGTTTGAGGCCAGCCTGGTGTGAGTTCCAGGACATCTGGGGCTCTAGGGAGACCCTGTCTCAAAAGGCAAAAAAAAAAAAAAAAAAAAGTGCTTGCCATGCAAGCCTGATGACTTTTGAGTTCAATCCCCAGAAACCCAGTAGAAGAAGAGAGCTGACTCCACAAAGTTGTCCTGGGCCTTCACACACAGACAATAATGATAAATTTTAAAAATTTTAAAAAAGAAAACCCCATTGTGGGCCCTACAACTTTAACACTTGGGAGGCAGCAGGAGAAGGGTAGCACGTTCAGAGTCAGCTTGGGCTATATAGTGAGAACCTGTCTCAAAAAGATGAAGATGCCAGGCTTGGTGGGGTATCCCAGCACTTGGAAGGCACAGACAGGAAGATCTATGTGAGTTTGAAGCTAGCCTGGTCTACATAGTGAGTTCCAGGCAATCCAGGGCTGTTTTTTGTCTCAAAAAAACAAAAAAGGAACCAGACATGGTGGTACATGCCTTTAATCCTAGCACTTGGGAGGCAGAGGCAGGTGGATCTCTGTGAGATCCAGGCCAGCCTGGGATGGTCTACTTAGCAAGTTCCAAGCCAGCTGGGCTACCTAGTAAGACCTTATCTCAAAAAAAGAAAAAAAAGTAAAATAAAATAATGAAAACCCCATGGTCTTCTGAGAGACTCTCTTCTCCCCAGTCCTGGCACTGGCCCCAAGAGAACCCTAGAACGGGGAAGAGAGTAAAGGACAGTCCCCACTCAGCCCTGTCTTGCCTTTATCTTTGTCCTGCAGCCTTTGATGATGCCCTGGCAGAGCACCAGAGACTGAAGTAAGTTTTCCCACTCCGCATGTCAATCATAGCCCCCTCGGAGGTAACATAAACTGCCCAGGCCCCTTCTGGGAGCCCTAGAAGCGCCACCTTCCCCTGTCACCCCCTCAGCTCATACAGCAAGACTTGGACATGTGACTGCAACTCTGCTCCTGTTTCTGTCTTTCAGGGCCTTGGCCATCATTGAGAAGAGTGAGTCACCAGTAGTCGTGTTGTTCTGTTCCTGACTCTAGGCTGGTTTCTCTGGACCCCCAGCCTCCTGGAAGGCTGCTGAAGTCCCAGATCTCCAGCAGGCTTTGTGGGGTTCTGGGGTCTCACGTTGCTACTGGGGAGATCTGGGAGGTAGCTGTAAAAAAAGACAGATGGATAAGGATCCTGAGGATACCTGAAGTGGTGGGTTGGACACGCCCTGTATGGGCCTGGTGCCAAGCAGATGCACACAACCTTTGGTGGGAACCCAAAGACAGGGAACAGAGGGGTGTGAGGCTGAACTGGCCTGTCTTTTTTTTAAGATTTATTTTTATTTGTGTGTATGTGTCTGTGTGAGTGTATGCCGCATGTATGAGAGCACGCTTGCAGAGTCTAGAAGGGGGTGCCAGATCCCCTGGAGCTGAAGTTATAGGTAGTTATGAACTTTAGTCCTCTGCAAGAGCAGCCAGTGCTCTTAACTGCTAAGTCATCTCTCCAGCCTTTAAGCTAGCCTTTCTGAGTGGACTAGAGGGAAGGGCAAGGGGGCGTCTCATCTAACCCAGAATCAGCCCCAAGCCCAGGGGATTTGGCACAGCTTTTGAGCTACTGTGAAAGCTACCAAATCCACCAGCTCAAACCTGCCCACTTACAAGGTCTCCCAGGCAGCTCTGAACAGCCCAGTGCTAGACGCATAGCCTTCTAATCTCTCTGGCCCAGTGATGAAAAATGGGGACTCTTCAGTGAAGGGCCAAGCCAGCAGCAGAGTCCTACCACTTTACCAGCCTGACCACAAAGGAGGAACCTGGATGGCTATGAGAATCAGGGACACTGTGTGACCACCAGCACACAGACGTTGGTGCCTGTCCCTATGTGGCACCTTGTCCCAGACTATCCCTATGTGACAGGAAGGTTGGGCACTGAGTCTTTATCTTCAGTCTAGACAATTCCAGGTTCCAAGTGGCCCTGCAGTGAGGTGCTCTCACAGAGGCCAGCCACCTCAGGGGTGACAGCACAGCCTGAGGCCAGCCTTGGGCTACTCAAGCCTGATGAGCTCTCACAGCACCACCTAGCCATTGCCCAGCACAAACAAACATCCCCTCCCATCTAGAACTCCCACAGAAGGAAGTTGCTGGGACTTGAGAAATCAGAGTCAGTGGGAGAAGCAGGATCCCCAGCTGTGGAAGGCTGGGAGGAATTCCTGCCCATGACAGTGCCCATCCCTGGGGCTTCCCCTGCCTGATTCAAGGACCTGACTTCTGACAAACTGACATCTGAACTAGGCTCTTTACACTTTGGGGATGCATGATCTAGAGCCTGTCAGATCCCCTTGTCTCCCCACTGCCCCTATTGCAGTATTAGGGACACATTTCTATCTCTACTTAGCAATTTATAGCCACATTGTCTTCCTGGGGCCACCAGGTCCCTCCTTGGACCAGAGGCAGGGTGTCCTAAAAGCTGCAACTTTCCCAGACCTCTTCTTGGTTCACTCCCTCGGTGGTCAGTGACACAGTTTGTTTGGTAGATAATGTCAGTTTAAGTTCAGAGCAATCTCCTTTACCTTCTTCTCCACTCCCCAGTGACAGAGGAACTCACTGTCACCCCAGGTACCACTAATCGTAGTGACCTCAACTTGATGGCAGAAACCCCCACGTTCCACGTCTTCTACTTGTGAAGATGAGGCTCATGTGGTACTGTTAAAGACAGAACTAGAAAGAGGCCTAACATTAACCCTTAGCTCTGAGGAAAACTACTGGGCGGGAGGGCAGCTGGCAGAACTCACCACTGAGTTCTCTTCTTTCCATTCTAGATCGGGCCAAGGTGGTGAGGGGCCTGCCAGATGTGGCCACCATCATGGAAGATAAGGTACTGTCCCTTCTGGCCCATGGCCAGCAGTCCCATGCTCCTGTTCCCTCAAGGATCCCTCCCAAGTCATGAAACAGTGGAGTTCTGTGGATTTACCTCCCAAGTCATGAAACAGTGGTGCTCTGTGGATTTACCAGCCAAAGGTGGTAGGTTGGCCAGAGAGGCTGAACCTATCACATACGAGCAAGCGGCTCACTGATGACATGTGTATCAAGGAAAATCGCTGAATCCAGGTCAGACCCAGTGCTTAACTGGGTTCCATCTCTAGACAGCTTGGATCAGAGTCTGCCCACTGTGACTTTGGTCTCCACAGGAGTTCAACTACATGATCCTGAAGAGATCTAGTGTTTTCAGTAACCTATGCGGTGCTTGCTTTGTGTGGGGTATTACTATATATATCATTCCGTATTTTAGCTGATTTTGTCACCAAGCCAACCACAGGAAATAGGGTATTAATGCTAGTGACATTTGATAGCAGAGGAGACTGAGACCCAGAGTGGTTAAGGTACTAACGTCACATAGCCTCACTGATAGAGCTGAGAATCACAGCAACTGCCGATTCCAGAGCCTTGAGTTTCACCATCACACTGCAGTGTTCTTTGTTAAACCTCACTCAGGAACTTCAAATTCAAGTCACAAATCTTTGTCCTAAAGTAACATAACCTCCTTACTGGGGTGGGTAATTGCAAAAGAGAGCAATCTAAGATTCCAACTAGAAACTATTCCTGTAGAAAAGCTGATGGAGAATCTGGGGTTGAAACAGAATGTGTCTCTCTTTATGGGTTACAATGAAACTCACAGAAGGGTTGACTGGGGTGTAGCTCAGTTGATAGAGTGCTTGCCTAGTGTACATGAAGCTCTGAATTTGACCCCTCCTATTGCATAAAGCAGGCATGGTAGGAATACCAGCACTTGGGAAGTGGAGGATTAGAAATTCAAGGTTGTCTTCAGCTATATAGTGAATTCAAAGCTATCCCAAGATACATACATCCTGTCTCAAAAAAGGAAATAAGATGTAATACATGTCCAAGTAGCTTACTGGACCAGAAGCTCTCTAGGTACATGAAGGTGAGTGCCAGGTTCAAGTTCCAAGTTCAAATTATAAGGAAGTAAAACTGTTCTCTTCCTATCCATCAAAACAGACCCTATGCCTGACCTGCATCATCTCAGGAGATCCTGTCCCTGAAATCTCTTGGCTAAAGAATGACCAGCCTGTCACCTTCCATGACCGATATCACATGGAGGTGAGGGGGACAGAAGTCACCATCACTATCAACAAGGTCACCAGTGATGACAGCGGGCGTTATGGTGTCTTTGTCAAGAATAAGTATGGCTCGGAGACCGGTCATGTCACCATCAGCGTGTTCAAACATGGAGAGGCACCCAAGGACATGAAGAAGATGTGATGGGCGTGTTCAGGGCCAGCCTGAGATCTGCATTGCACGGACCAGGAGGCCAACCAGTGGGTCATAGCCTGGCATTGGCTGGGGTGTGGAGTAGGGGAAGGGACAGGGTAGAACCCAGGACATGAGGGGAGCTGGAGTGGACACACCAGAAAGAAGCAACAGAGATCCTGCTGGGTCTTCAGAGGCCTCCAAGATGGGCAGAGGGGGTGGAGGTAGTTAGCACTAGACTTGGAAATCAGAAGCTGGGAACCAAGACTCAGTTTCATCAAAGCTCTTGTGCTCTCAGGCATCAGATGAACAATCCCACCCCCCCCCCCCTACCACCCACCCCTAATGACGGCTTGTGAAACCCCTTATAGACCATATGCCAGGGGCTCAGAACAGGAGGCAACATTGTTCTTTATGAGCATTTGGTAAAGTTGACAATTTTGGTTGTCCCAACTGGAGGTGTTTACTGGCATCTAGTGGGTTAAGGTCAAGTAGGTCAAAATGTGACTGAACACTGCCTTCCTGGCACAGAGTTTATGCAGTTGATCAATCCTTTCATCACAATTCTCTTTTAGGACAGGACTGTTGCAGTTCCAACACTCATCAGAAGTGTAGCATGCACAAAGCTCAGGGTGGTCCTGGAACTACAAAGATAAACAATACTCAGACCCCACCCAGGAGGGGGTCTCAGTACCGAAGGGAAACAGATGTGGATGGAGATGACCCCAGGGCAAGGCAGACGATGAAAACACTAAACAGGTCCAAGGACAGTGCCACCCATGATCAGGGGAGGGGGACGACAGTCAATCCAATTGGAAAATGTAGGACAGAACTGTGTTGGGCCCTGAGAGATGAATCCAGTTTGGCCATGGAAATGGGAGGGGGACACTTCAGGAGCAGCCATGGTGGGAGCAAAGGTGAGGACAGGGAGGAGTGGAGTGTAGACTGGGATGCCAGGCATGGAGTGGATGACCTTCAAGGCTTCTTCGAGCATAGGGCCTATGTGTGGTGTGCAGATAGGAGTTGGCCTTGGTTGGCAGATCTCAGTACAGAGCTGGGCATTTCCCTGCCTTCCAGTTTCCCTCTTTGAAAACATAAGACGGGGGGGGGGGGTTATAAAATTATAAATGTGTGTGGTAAAGCCTTAAAGAACTCAGGCAATTTATAAAAGAGAAATACAACCATCAGTATTCCCAACATCAGAAGATAACACCTGGCTGTGATTTCTGAAATGACTTTGAAATTGAAGGGTAAATCACCCCTCAGCCCACCAGCTAGTCAGTCACCCACTGGATATGGTGGGTACCTACAGCCCCGGCAGCCCGCCTTCCAGACTCCATGGTGATTAATGAGCCCTCTGCTGAGGAGAGGTGGGGGAGGGGAGGGGTAATGAAAGTTTGGGAAATAGGGCTGGTTGATGGCTCAGTAGTCAAGAGCACTGGCTGCTCTTGCAGAGGACCTGGGTTTGATTCCCAGCACCCACACGGCAACTAACAACCGTCTGTCACTCCAGTTCCAGGGGACTCTGATGCCCTCTTCTGATCTCTGTGGACATTGCATGACATGGATGCACTTACATACATGCATACATGCAGGCGATACACTCATATACATAAAATTAAAAAATAATTTTAAAAGGGAAGTTTGGGGAACAATGCAGGCCCTTTTTCTTAAACTTTATTAATTTGTGTGTGTGTACTTGTGTGTATGTGCATGTGAGCACATGTGTGTCATGGCATGTATGTGGAAGTCAGAGGACAACTTGTGGGAGTAAATCCTCTCCTTCCACCATGGCAGGTCCAGGGATCAAACTTGGCAGCAAGTGACTTTACCCCAGGAGCCATCTTGCCATCCCCTATGTAGGTCTTAAAGGCAAATATCCATGGGCTTCAGACACCTTTCTGCCACCACATGCTCCATAAGACCTTGCAAAATACGTTTCCTTTTTCTGAGCCTCAGTTTCCCATTTGAAAAACAATAAGATTACCAGGTATGGTGGCACATACTTGTAGATCCAGTACTGCTAGAGGGGTAGGCAGGAGGACCAGGAGTTCAAGGTCATCTTCAGCTACACAGCACAAAGTCAACCTGAGCTACATGAGACCTTATCTCAAAGTTTTTAATTAATTTAAAAAATAATGGACCAGGAGCTGGGCCTGGTGACACATGCCTTTAGCCCCAGAACTTGGGAGTCAGAGGCAGGCAGATCTCTGTGAAATCAAGACCAACCTGGTCTACATAGTGAGTTCCAGGTCAGTGGGGCTACGGGGCTACAGCGAAGTCCTGTCTCAATAAATAAATAAATAAATAAATAGCCAGTGAGATAGCTCAGTGGGTAAAGTGCTTGATGGGCAAACCTGGTAACTGGAATTTGATCCCTAAAACCTCTTTAAAGAGGAAGACTGACTCCACAAAGTTGCCCTCTGACCTCCACATGTGTACTGTGGTATACACATGCCCACATATGCATCATACACAAATAATAATAATAATAATAATAATAATAGTTAATTAACAAAGTAGGGGTCAGGAAGTAGGTAACAGCCCTTGCTTGCCAAGCTTTAACCATTTGAGTTCAGTCCCTGGGATCTACATGATGGAATGAGAGAATCAACCCCTCAAGTTCTCCTCTGACCTCCACATGCATGCCACAATACCCATAAGCACACACATAAATAAACAAATATTATTAAATCAAAAATAAGGGCCAGCAAGATGGCTCAGTGGATAAAAACACAAGCCTGACAACCTGAGCTTGATCCCAGGAGCCCACATGAGAGAGCCAGGTATCGTGACACACATCTGTAATCCCAGCACATTTACAGTGAGATGGGAGGCAGAGAGCAGAGTCGCCTGGAGACTAGCAAGTGAGCCAACCTGGAGTATGTAGCATGGCAGAAAGCGTGGAGACCCTGCCTCAACAAGGTGGAAAGAGAAAACCAACTGTCCTCTGACCTCTATGTGTGCTGTGGCACCCGTGCACGCGCACACACACATACACACACAAACACACACACACACACACACACACACACACACACACACAAACAAACAAAAATATAAGTAAAAATAAAAATGGAAATAAATATGTAAAATGAAAAAAGACAAAGATAATTTCTGAGGGTCTGTCCTGTTGACACTAAGAATGTTTACTACTTCCCGCAACTCCAACCTCCTTTGCTTTTCAATTCCCATGAAAATGTGGTGTAGACAAAAAGACTCCATCCTGGCCCACCCTCCCATTTGCAGTCTTAAATCTCTTGTGTCAATGAAAAATATCCCAGGTTTTAGTGACGTTGGAAAATCTATCAGCCGTAATGGAACACACCGCCCCCTGCTGGCATGACTTGTGCTTGCACTCTAAGAAGCTGCAGGTGAGTGCATTGTGGGGCTGGGGATGCTCGGAGTGTCCTTAATGAGGAGACAAGCCAGTTTGGGAACCACACGCTATATCAGAATCCATAGCACATTAATCACGGGATTTTTTTAATCTCTGGTCTGGCAATTCCAACATCCGGAGTGTACGTGAGTCTGCTTTGATGCCTGCTCTGTCTTTTTTTGTTCTGCCTTTTAGTCTGCCTTGTATTTTATTGTTTTAGGGGTTTTGTTGTTGTTGCTGTTGTTGTTGTTAAGATAAGAAGACAAAGAAACTGTGATAAATAACAAGTGGCTTTTAATGCTTGGGGAAAAGAAAGGGGTGGGGACAAGGAAATATTCTCTGGTCTGTATCTGGGTCTTGGCCTTTTTTTGAGACGGAGGGACAGAGTGTAAAGTAGCCCAGGCTAACCTTGAATTGGTTATGTAGCCAAGGATGGCCTTGAACTCCTGTCTCCTGTCTTCACCTCCCAAGTGCTGGAATTACAAGCATGCACCACACACACCCAGTTTCTGAGGTTCATGTTTCAAGCATGCTGGGAAAGTACTCTACCAACTGAGTTACATCACCAGCCCTGAGTCTTGGGCTTTAGTGAGTCTGTTCCTGGACCATGAATTCCACAGTCCCTGCTCAGGTTTTTTCCCTAAGGTGGGACAGGATAACTACAGAGCTAGAGTTAGGCATTTTTGCTTCCCCCAGTAGATTGGAGCTGGGTAATATAATGATCCTAAGGTCTGGTCTGGTAAGACTAGAATGCCCTGGCATGTTAAAAACTGGTTAGGAGCAGGGCGTGGTGGTGCATGCCTTTAATCCCAGCACTTCGGAGGCAGAAGCATGCAGATCTCTGTGAATTTGAGGCCAGCCTGGTCTGCATAGTGAGTTCCAAGACAGCTGGGGCTACAGGGAGACTCTGTCTCAAAAAGACAAAAAAAATGGTTACAAGAGGATTGGGTCCCCTAGAGATATCTCTCTCTCTCTCTCTCTCTCTCTCTCTCTCTCTCTCTCTCTCTCTCTTTCTCTCTGACTTTCATATGCTGCTATTGTCATCAGTTATAGCTCAAACCACAGCACTGGTTCCCATGAGGTGCTGCATTGTGCCCTGTGACCTCAACTTCCCTGACAGAAAAGAGTGGTTGACTTTTCAGTCTGTTCTGATTCTTTACTTGTTAGGCCTTCTTACAGGCCAAACAGGAAACCAGAAGTCCCAGTTATGAGCACACAAACAACTCTCTGGGTACAGTCTCCTGGACAGGGTCCCCAGGGCACAGTCTCCAGCAGCATCCCTGTTCTAGTTTGCTTTCAATTACTGTGACAAAACACTCTGACCAATACCAACTTGAGGAGGAAAGGGTTTATTTGGTTTACATCCCTTGGGTCACAGTTCATTGCTGAGGGAGCCCAAGGTAGGAACTCAGGGCAAGAGCCTCAAGGCAGGAGCTGGAGTATAGGCTCTGGAGGAACCCATCTTACTGGCTTGCTCCCCTGGCCTGTGCTCAACCTGCTTTCTTATACAATACAGGACCATCCACCGAGGGGTGGCATTATCCATGGTGGGCTGGGTCCTCCCACATCACTCAACAATCAAGAAAATGCCCCACAAACATGGCCACGTGCCAGTCCAATGGGGGCAATTCATCAAGTGAGGGTCCCTCAACCCAGGTGTGTCAAGTTGACACTAAAGCTATCCAGCACAGTCCCCAAGACCAGGGGCCCCTTTCTCCTCACCTGCTCTGTTCCCTTCTTGCTCCCATCTCACAGAGCCCCAGGCTTGGTATGCTGCTGCTAGAATTATAGATGGGGAGACGGGACAGTGTGGATGGAGGCCTGTGTTACATTGTTTTTCTGTTGCTGTGATAAAATACCTGGCAAAAGCAACT